GCAGAGGAGACAGCATATGCTAAAGCTTTAGTCTGTGTTAGGGCACAGGATGTTTGGAAATCGGCAACACAAATAGGACTCTGGATAAGGTCACTGGTTGAGAGAAACCAGGATGTTGAACATGACTATAAAATAAACAGAGGTATTAGGTCTGGAGCATTTACTGTGCAGGACTACAGCAAAGTTTAGGCACAATAAACTTTCTGGGCATGGTTTAAAAGAAATGAGGTGCTTTAGTGAAATAAAGTTTCCATAAACATGTCATATATAACCAATTTCTAAATACTTACATGCTCAAAACCCATCTCTTACTGTAAGAAATTCTATAATCTGACCTGGACACAGAGGTGAATTCATGGAACTAATACCAGTTATATATATATATGTATAATACTGTCTAATATATATATTAGACTATATTTTAGAGCAGTTTTAGGTTTCCAGAAAAATTGCAAAGAAAGTAGGGAGAGTTCTCAAACATCCCTCTTCTAAATACACATACACACACACACACCCCACACACACACACACACACACACACACACACACACACACACACACGCCGCGCGCGCACACACACATGCAACATTTCCCCTATTGTTAACATCTAGCCTCAGTGTGGTACATTTGTTACAACTGCTGAGTCAGTAATCATACATTATTTTTAAAGTCCATAGCTTACATTTGAGTTACCTGTTTGTTTTGTACAGTTCTATGGGTTTTGACAAATGCATAATGTTCTGTGTCCACCATTACAGAATCATACAGAATAGTTTCCCTGCCTTAAAAATTCCCTTGTTCGCTGGGCTTGGTGGCTCAGCCTGTAATTCCAGCACTTTGGGAGGCCAAGGTGAGTGGATTGCCTGAGTCCGTGAGTTCAAGACCCACCTGGGCAACTTGGCAAGACCTCATCTCTACAATAAATAAAAAAATTAGCCGGGCGTGGTAGAGCGCCCCTGTAGTTCCAGCTACTTGGAAGGCTGAGGTGGAAGGATCGCCGGAGCCCAGCAGGTCGAGGCTGTGGTGACCGGGAGTGGCCATTGCACTCCAGTCTGAGCGACAGAGTGAGACTCCAACTCAAAAAAAAAAAAATTCCCTTGTTCCACCTGCTCATTCTTCCCTTTCTCCCCCAGGACTGTTGACAACCACTGATCATACTGTCTCCATTGTTTAGCCTTTTCCGGGTCATGTGGTTGAAACTCATAGAGTATGTCTTAATCAGATTGGGTACATTTAAAGTTTCTCAATGTCTTTGGTAGTTTCATAGTTCATTTATTTTTATCATAATAATACTCCATTGTATGGACGTAGAAGTTTGTTTATTCATTTACTTCTTGAAGGACAATCCGGTGTTTCAATTTGGAACAGTTACAAAAATAGGTGTTAAAACGTTCCTGTGTAGGTTTTTGTGTGATCATAAGTTTTTACTTATTTGAGTAAAAGCATTGCTGTATTACTTGATAAGCCTGTGGTTACCTTTGTAAGAAACTGCCAGGCTGTCTTCCAGAGTGACTGTACCATTTTTCATTCCCACCAGCAATGAACGAGAGTTCCTGTTTGTTATTCCACATCCTTTCCAGCATTCACTATTGTCTGTGTTTTTTCTTTTAGCCATTTTGATAGTCATATAGTAATATCTCATTGTTTGAGTTGCAGTTTACTAATTACATATATTAAGGTCTTATTCACTATCTGTTTATCTTCTCTGATGAAGATGTCTGTTCAGATCCTTTGCCCATTTTGTAATTGGGTTATTTATTTTCTTGTTGTTGAGTGCTAAGGGTTCTTTGTATATTTTGAATACAGTCATTTATGAGACGTGTTTTGCAAATATTTTTTCTTGGTCTATAGATCGTCTCTTCAATCTCTTAAAAGTGTCTTTCTCAGAGCAAAAGGTTTTAGTTTTAATGAAGACCAATTTGTCAGTTTTTTACTTTCATAGATCATGCTTTGGTGTTATATTTAAAAAGTCATTGCCAAACCCAAGTTTACATAGATTTTTCTATGGTATCTTTTAACAGTTGTATAGCTTTGCAATTTACATTTAGGTGTATGATTCAATTTGAGTTAATTTTAGTGAAAGATGTAAGGTCTAAATATAGCCTTACTTATTTGCATGTAAATGTTCAGTTGTCCCAGCATTATTTGTTAAAAAAGAATATCCTTTCTCCAATGAATTGCCTTTCCTCCTTTGTTAAAGATAAGTTTACTATATTTATGTGGGTCTATTTCTGGGGTCTCTATTCTGCTTCCTTAATCTATTTTTTTCATTGATATCACACTGACTCGATCACTATAACTATAAAGTAAGTTTGGAACTTGGCAGAATCAGTTTGTCAATATCCATAAAATAACTTGCTGATTTTTTTTATTTTTTTATTTTTTTGAGTTGGAGTCTCACTCTGTTGCCCAGACTGGAGTGCAATGGCCGCTCCCGGTCACCGCAACCTCGACCCGCTGGGCTGCGGCGATCTTTCCGCCTCAGCCTTCCAAGTAGCTGGAACTACAGGTGCGCGCTACCACACCTGGCTAATTTTTTGATTTATTGTAGAGATGAGGTCTCATCAAGTTGCCCAGGCGGGTCTTGAACCCGCGGGCTCAGGCAGTCCACTCATCTTGGCCTCCCAAAGTGCTGGGATTACAGGCTAGTCACCGAGCCCGGCCAGTTGCTGATATTTTAAATGGGATGGTGTTGGATCTATCTAGTTGGGATACTGTTCAATTAATCTAATTGGGAATAATTTATATTTTAATAATATTAAGTCTTCTACCCATGAATGTAGAATATCTTTCCATTTTTAAAATTTAGATATTCTTTTGGTTTTTTCAATCAGAGTTTTATGGTTTTCCTCACATAGCTCTTATACATATTTTGTTATGTAAAAATCTATGATTTTGTTGTTGTCATTGTTTTTGTTTTGTTTTGTTGGTACTAATGTAAATGATCTTGTTGTTGGATTCAATTTGCTAATCTCCTGCTGAGAATTTTTGCATCCTTGCATCTGTTCATGACAGATATTGGTTTACATCTTTCCTACATAGTAATGTCTTTGCCTCATTTGATATTAGGTAGTGCCGGCTTCATGAAATGAGTTAGAACTATCTTTCTGCTTCTATTTTCTGAAAAAGGTTGTAAGCATTGATGTAATTTCGTCTTTAAATGTTTAGTAGTATTCACTAGTAAAACTATCTGAGCTTGGTGCTTTTTGCTGTGGAAGGTTATTCATTGTTGTTTTAATAGATGTAGGCCTATTCAGATGATCTAATTCTAATTCTCCTTGTATAAACTTTGACCAATATTTTGAAGTATTATTTCTCCTGAGATCAAGTATATATTCAAGATAATAATTCATATGAACTAGTCAAATCATAAAGAAGTCTTTGCAAATTAGGAGTCAGAAAAAAACTATCCTTGTTACAAGTGAAGCTTCTAATAAATTCTACTGCATATATTTAATCTATGGCAGAACTAGTTTCAGATTTTCTTACTGAAAGAAGCACAGAAATTCTAGGTTGACAATGCCAAATAGCAACAAATTAATGAAACATCAACAGCAGTGAGCTTTTCATGTTTGTCATTATTCCTTTTAAGATCAGAGAACATTTTCCTCCAATATTTCAAAGGAAGAGTCAGAGTCAAAGTATTTCAAAAAAGAAGTGTACTTGCAAAAGGCTCAAGGGAGTAAGACTTCAGAAAAACTAGCCTACCCAATGAAAAATATAGCCAGTATTTAAAGAAAATATGAATAAAATTACCATATTATTAAGTTTGCATTAGCTTGTCCATGGGGGGGGAATTATCACATGATCATCATATCCAGAAAGATCTTGCAAGATCAGCCAAGTAAAAGTCAAGAGTAAAATTGTCTTTGTTGGGAGTCTGGGGATAGGAAATACTCTATGATTCATTATTTTGGGGCCAGAAATTGACAGGATGATCCTGTTATTTTTGGTTATTGTTAGGGCACAAAATGCTTCTTCGTGATGGAAACGAAGCATAGTGTCTGCTTTGCTTTCAGAAATATAAAGCAAATGTCATTACTGCAAAATATAAGTAGGATATTTCTTGTAACTCTATTTGCTATTATAAGTAAATAAAAACCCAAAGTAGAATCACAGAATCATTTACTTTGGTTTCCACTCATTCCTGCCAGCCCTTTCTTGTGCATCACACTGAGCCATGCTCTTACTTGACAACTTGTCACCTAAGTGAAGACAGCTATTATGCCCCTCACACCACCCTGATGTTGGCAAGAAGTAGACTTTTATATTTAATATTCATAATTATGTGTGGCCTAAATATTCACTGTTGTAATTACAGAAGCTCCAATGAAATAATTTTTAAAACTCTATCTTTGTAAAAACTTATTTCTAGTAATGGTGATGGAAATTAAGAGAAAATACAGATGTCTAAAAAAGTGATGGTTCTCAGTGACAAAATATGATTTTATGAAACAAATGACTAAAATCCTCTTTTGCGTGTTCATACTCAGGACTTCTTTCTCTGATGAGGTGTGGCAGCTTTTTCTCTCCCCTTCCTGCCTTCTTTCCTCCTTTCTTTTCTTCTTTTCCTTTTTTAATTTTAAAAGGAACGAGAGTATGAAGGACCTATACATACAAGCCCATGCATGTACTTCATCTTAAAAGGATTGTAAGTTCTGATTATTTCACTTGTTATGTTCACTTCTGTTTAGCTGTAAGGGATAAATGTCAGAGTGTCCAAATGTCCAAAGTATCTAATCATTATAGTGGGTACTTGATGCTAGCAGAAAAGGAGATTGTTCCAGTGGCAGGTGAGAAAATGTCCTCACACAATTTTGACATTTAGAACACTTGAGTGAAATTAAGCCAATTCTGGTTACAGTTCTTTCTAGTTATTAACATACTCCTTATCAACATGATCTAGCAGGCAGCTGTGGTCTTTTGAAGCAGACTTAGAAAAAAGCAACCAAATCTGCTAATGACAACTAGGTGACAACACTCTCTTTTTTATTTCAAAGGTGTCCTTGAGTGGCCATTTTGGACAAAACTAGTCGTGGTGGCTATCGGCTTCACAGGAGGTCTCGTCTTTATGTACGTGCAGTGTAAAGTCTACGTTCAGTTGTGGCGCAGGCTGAAGGCCTACAACCGTGTGATCTTTGTACAAAATTGCCCGGACACTGCCAAAAAACTGGAGAAGAACTTCTCATGTAATGTAAACACAGACATTAAGGATGCTGTGGTAGTGCCTGTGTTACAGACAGGTCCAAGTTCCCTGCCATCTGCAGAAGGCGGCCCCCCTGAAGTTGTGTCTGTTTGATGGAACCAGTTGGGAGCTTCTTTACTGAAGAATACCTTTCTAGCCCTCAGCCACTACACATGACAGAAGTGATCCTGAATGATCCACTCCCTTCAGCTCCTCCTCCTACTCATGCATTTTTCCTTACCTTGCTCAAAAAGGAAAGGTGGAAAACACACCAAATGACCGGGATTCCCTGAAGTACAGCCTAAAGTGTGATATGGAAATGTGGAGTTTGCTAGACAATGATTTCTAAGACAATTAAGAACCATTGAAGCAATGAATGCTCTTGGGCAATGATACAAGTTTAAATGGACCAGTGATACTCTTCACAGTGGCAGGGGAAAAGTTCAAGAATACAGACTTGAATTGCAATGTGTGTTTCTTCTAGGGCATTGTAATGGTAAATATCTCATCTGGAAATGACAAACATATTTGGTTTTAAGCCTGAAATAGTCTGCATTATCCCTAAGTCACATTATAAGCAAACTTGGAGGATGCATATTTTGATATACTTTGACAGCTAACAGATTTTTATGGCTATAGTGGAGGTCAGCTATTTTGACAGATGCACGTTTTTAAAATAGATGCAATATACAATTGAAGATATTAATACTTGGAATTATGTTTGAACCATGAACAAAAGTTTTTTCGGAGAATCTTTGGGTTTAATTAGCTGTTAAATACCCACAGAAATCAGCTATCAGGTCTTATATTTTTGTCTGGTCCCTCTAATACAGTGCTGTCCAACAGAAATATAACATTAGCCACAAATATGGACCACATATGTACATTTTAAATTTCCTAGTAGCCTCATTTTGAAAAGTAAAAATGGTAAAATTAAATTTGATATTTATTTAACACTTTACATAAGTTGTTTCAACATGTCATCAATATAAAAAAAAAATATTAGTTTACATCTTTTTTTTTAAAACCAAGTTTTCAAAATCCAGTTTGTATTTTAAAACACACCTCAGTTTGAATTAGTCATATTGGACAGCACAGCCCTAAACTGAGAGACTAAGCCTCTGCTTCATTTAACAGTAGAAGATTTCAAAACAGCAGCTAAATTAGCAAATGTTATGATTTTACGAACCACTAAATCCAAATTGAAGAGTTAGATGAAGTTCATGGTCCTCTAAATAAAGGGTAAAAAAAAAAAGTAAATATAGAAAGATAAAGCAATTTGCCTGTAGCAAAGTTGTGAAATTAACTTCTGTTTGCCATAATGAAGCACTTGCCCAATAGTGAAATAAAATTAAACATTTTAATTAAATCAAATGTATGAGGTCCCCACCCCACATGAGGTGTCAACTTGACAGATGAATAGTTATGACCAAGAATTCAGATTTTATTTAAAAAGCTGACAGGATTTCTCATGCTCAGTTGGGAAGCAAAACGACTTAACAGACTCTGTGATAAATAATAAATTGTTTGTTTATAGGTTTAACAGTTGATTATTGTATTCTTTACATATTCATGGAAAACTGAAGTATGAATGAATTGCTGTGAGCTAGATTATTATAGATATAGTAGCCTGTCAAAGAAAGATGTCCTTTATTAGAAAAGGTAACTTATTTTTGTTAGCTGTCATATTTATTAACGTGAAAAGGCAACAATGGCCGTAAGAAATACCAAAGCATGGGTATTGCATTGCACAGATCTGGGTATCACATCAATGCACTTTGTAATTATCGGTGTGCTTGTTCTTCACACATTATCAGAGGAAAAAGGAAAGAAAAAAAACAACCTTTAAATAAGGAGTAAGATGGTATGAGTATTAGTGGCAGACACTGAGTCCAAATAGTCCCAATTCCTAGAAATAAAGAAAAGGTAAACAATGTCAATTGTGTGTGTGTGTGTGTGCGTGTGTGTGTATGTGTATTCATGTATATACATGAAAAAATGTTAAAGTATTCAGTCAGGAAACAAAGGTTTAAAACTCATCTTTCTTAAACTTGTCAAAAGCATAGGAAAAACAAAGTTGCGGTAACTAAACCGAACCAAAAATTCTGTAGGAATAAGGACATAAGCGGTGTTTTAAAAAATATATGAACCTTAAACAGACTAAACTTTGTATTAAATTTCTCTTAAATTTCACTTAAAGATTTAAGATAAATGTATTTATGAATAGCTGTGAGTGACTTAACCATGGCGCCACACTCAAGGGATGAACCTTGATACAATTTTCCTAAGCTTTTTACTAATCCATTTATTTCTGTGATTTGACAATGGCAACATGCTGTTTACAAATATTCTTTGCGGAAAAAAACCTAGTCACCAGTAAACAAGAAATTTCTCTTTTGTTTGCTCTGGAAGTAAAAGAATTATTTACCTTGATTATTATGGAAGATATTGTTTAAATTCTGCACAAACCTAAGCAAGATTAGGTAAGTGCAGGGCTCATTTCACAGTGGGAGACAATTGGCTAAGATGAAGCCTCATTTATCAGGGGCTATATTTAACACTAAGATAACATTTCTAGGATGAAAAGCAAAGACAGGCATTATTACTATATTAATGGTAAAAGATAACATGGAGATTTAACTATACCTAAACTCTTGAAGTTAACTTGTACGGGCTCTGACTTTATTGAAATAAAAAAACATAGCTCCCTGGCAGGTTAAAAGTCATCATTTTATTTCGCTATTCTTCTCTCACCTTTCAAAACCCTGAAATTCTGAATTTCAATCTTTTAAAAAGCATTCCTGCAATGGCTGTTTATGGTCCAAACATGTGAAATAACAACACGCATTTAAAACCTAATGTTGATTATTTTCTTTTTCATTCTGTGTGGCAATGGAACATCTGCCGTTTCAAACAATACAAAGATTTAGCTTTATGGAAGTGCTTTTTCGTGGGCTAGATATACCCCTCGAAAAGAAAAACTGCTCCACGGAATGACAATTTTGAGGCATCTTTACCTGCTTGTGTTAAGAAATAAAATGGAATTTAAAAGAGGAATAAAATTGAAGAATGAACTTAACAGTTGTTAAAAATCTTGACTTTTTATAATCATGAATCTGTGGTGTTAGCTATGGATGCTGTTAATTTTTTAACTAAAGAACTGTCACTTTTATCATACAGGATTAAAATTAAATTGCAAAAAAAAAAAATTCCAATTTTTTTAAAAAAAGTGAAGCCCAACAGGCAATTAACTTTAAGCATAAAACAAATAAAAAATGAGAATTAAAACAAGAATGATCCCAACAACCTGGGACATGTAAATGCATGAACTGAAGACAGGTTTATACTGTAGGAGTCTTTCAAATGTTGCTTACTTGTGAACACAGTCCCAGAGGGATGGCCTCACAGTTAGATTTTATCTTATTTTACAAAAGGTCCTTGGATACCCTTTAACACATCTATTCTTTGGCTGGAAAATTAGCTCATCAGAGCAATGATATCATTAAGATGTATGAGGGTCATGAGGCTGAGGTAGGAAGATTATTCCATCTACCCCACAGTTTACCCTTCCTTGCCTGGAAAATGAGTATTTTTGAACAAAGTTGAGCTCTTAAAAGTTATTATCACTATTATTATAGTTGTCACATAATATTTTAATTAAGAAAGATGAAACCCTTTTTCTTTCCTTCAATCAGCCCAATGGTGCTATTTTACATATCAATATAGTTCAAAGGAAGTACTGTTATTTTGGGCTGCAGTGTTTCCTCTACATCTGAAGAAAGCCCACTTTGAAATTGGATATTGCATTAAAACAAAGAAGGAAAAATTATTTTAACTGTGTGCAATTTTTGAAATTGGGCATTTGTACTTTTTTGGTTTTACCTAATTCTCTTGCATTAACAATTTACTGTTTTGTGAATCATGTGTACTAAGAAAAATTAATAAAAATAAAATAATTATCTGTGAAAGACTTTGTATATTAAACAAGTGACCCAAATGTTGGTTGTGGTTTCTATACTTTTTTACCTAACATACTGGAATTTCTTGCAGATTTGTAGTTGCAACATTCAAACATATATGAATCTTTAAGATTTTACATGGGTCTGAAAATATTTATAACTATTTTCAACAAGCGTGCACTGACTAACCCATGACACTAGAAAACAGGTGATTTGACAGAGAGAAACCAATGGAAATAATCTATAGACTTCCAAAACCTGTTTTTTAAAAGAAAGTTTAAGAAAAAAACACAATGTAATCTAAAGAAAGAGGGTTTTCTCTAGAATAAGAGATGGAGAAAAGCAAGCATTTTCCCACCCAGAGATAACAGAAGACTGGGCCCAAATAATTGCATGGATAATAAACATTAAGAGCAAGACATTGTAATCTATTTCTAAGAGGTTTGGTAATAGCAAAGAAATGTCCAAGTCTCCAGCTTTTAAGCCTGAAGTCATGGTAAAAAGACGACGTGCCCCAGGGTACCTAGGAGCCTTCCTACTAGCTGCTAATTGTATGAGCTCATTCTTCTGCCCAAACTGGATATCTAGACGTATCAGCCTTCCCCACCACGCAAAGTTATAGCAGACACTCCTAGATCACTATCTTTTCATTATGAGTTCAACTAATGACCCTAAACGGGGTGCTGTGATACAGCTTATCAAGAGTAGCAAGGGTGTGGATGTGGAGATACTCCAGAGAGGGTAACTTAAACTCTCACTTGAAGGGATGAGATAACAATCATTATTGTTGGTCTTGCAAAAACTCAGGGAAATGGCAATGCAGGCAAAGGGACAGGAAGTACCAAAGTCCTGATTGGGAAATGTCAAGCAAGGCCAATAGATCCAGTAGCCGGGCGTGGTAGCGCGCGCCTGTAGTTCCAGCTACTTGGAAGGCTGAGGCGGAAGGATCGCCGGAGCCCAGCAGGTCGAGGCTGCGGTGGCCGGGAGCGGCCACTGCACTCCCGTCTGAGTGACAGAGTGAGACTCCAACTCAAAAAAAAAAAAAGAATCAGTTCATGACAGTCGTCCCTCAGGAGTTGGGTCAGGTGCGGCAAAACTTTGCCTAAATGGACCCACACAGGTCATCAGGGTGCTGGCGACAGGAGCAAGAAAAATGGCAGGAAGGCAAACTAGGAAGCTACTACACGAGACAGGCAAGACATGGTGGCTTAGGTAGGGTGAAAAGTAGAGATGGCTCCATGTGAGCTGACCTTTCATTTTGCAAATGGCATCAGAAATATAAGCTAAATGACTTTGATTGGGGGCGGGCATGGAAGAAAATGGAGGATCAAGGATGATTTCTAGGCAGATTTCTGGCTTGAAAAATTAGGTGGAAAGCTTGCGAGAGAATCAAGGTTTCTGAGAAGACCATAGGGAGTGGGAACTAGAACACAGGTAAGCAGGAATAACTGCCTTCAAAAGGAGAAAAGATACCAAATCCATTTTATTAAGGGGAAAAAATGGTATTTTTATTCCCTCAAGGAAGTGTAAAAAGCCAAAAAAGCCAAGACTTGAACACTGAATAGGCCAGTACTGAAGTTAGGCTAGAAAAAAATGAAAAAGTAGTAAAATAATTATCTAAAAGTTAGAAAATGAACTTAACAGGGGAACATAGTAAGGTCACTAAGCAGTATTGAGAATCCCCTTAAGATCTGAAAATGGGAATGTGAAAATGGTCTGTGACATTCTTCAGCAATATTGAGTGGCTTGGGAAAAGGAAGGGTAGAAAGAGTTAACTATGTGCTACTGCTTTGGGTTTTGAAGGAGAAAAACTCTATGCAGAGTCAGAGCACAGGAAGTGAGGGCATACAAAAGTAAGCAACTGTGGATATGAAGCTAAGTTGAACCAGATAGGTGAGGATGCTTCATGAGGGAGAACGGCCCAGAACTTCGGCAATGGAGAGGGAGATACTCAAGTCAAGTCCACAGAAAGTGTGCCTGGTGCTCTGAACAGGGCCCAGGTGACCACGGAGAGGCCTCTGATGAGGGAGAAAAAGACTGGGAAACTTGGAGTACACAGTGTTTTACCTGTTATCTACTATTTGTTATCCACAAGGAATCACTAAAATGGCTGGTATAGGGGAGGGAAAAAAATGGAGCCGCGAGCTAAAGTATTCAATGAATGGGCATAAGGTTCTTCTGGGAGGTAAGGCAATAAAGAAGACAATTATAGAACTTCAAAGACCTAAGTAGAAATTATTCTGAAGTGACAGTAAAGCAAAGAGGACTCCTACCCAATCTCTTGTCCTGAAGCACATGGGATATAAAAATTGTGAAAGCTTCCATTTGAGGGGAATAGGGCTCTAAACCTCTGACGGTAAAGCAAGGAAGTGGCTAGACTATTAGGGAAAAGGAGCACAGACTCAGAGTTAGTTGCTCTGAACTTAGAAATGTACCATTAAACTGTGTCCATGAAAGTTCTGCTCACTGGTTTAGACCAGGGGTTGGCACAGGATGACAGGCAAGTCAATCTAGGCTGTGGCCTATTTTGTATGACCGTGATCAAAGAATGTTTTTTACATTTTTAAAGAGCAGTAAAACACACTCACACACAAATATGTGACAAACTGCATTTGGCCTGCAACACCTAATGTATTTACTATCTAGCCTTTACAAAGAAAAAGTTTGCCATCCCCTCGTTTATAAAGAAATGCCCTCCCCCTCAAAGTTACCTTTATTCTGTTCTATGTCTGTGGACTGCAAAAGCTATCCCACAAAAATAAGCTGTAGTACTTACTTAAGTGGTCTTGATGAAGGAAGCACAAGTTATTACCCAGAAATAATATATTCTATAGACAAGGGAATCATTTTAAATGATGTGGGTATCATTTAAAATCATCACTGAAGACATTATCTCTTATACTACTTTAGCCCAGCTAGGAGAGTCATGATGTTATTATGCTCCTAAATGGAAAAGTAAGAGTTTACTCATTCATTCAACAAATATTTATCTGTTCTAGTTCCCAGGAGCGTAGCTTGTTAGTTATATTTTTGCTCTGACAGCATAGGGGAAACTAGGAATAAATGTTTGAGAGGGAGGACAATCCGCAATTTTCACAAGTTATTCATCTAACAGTAGGGGCTTTGAAATATCAGTCCAGATAAAACAGCTCTTATTTTCCCTACTGTAATCTATGACTCAGTCTTTACAGCCATTTTAAGACTAAATATGAACCAGAGAGAGAAGGAAGTTTCCCAATGACTAAAGAGATAATCAACTTCTTATGTAATCATAAAATCACACTTTTACAGAAATAACCAAAGCAAATCAGCATCAGTTACATCATTAAAAGCTAAATAATTAGAACTTAAGTGGAATTATGAAAATAAGTTTTATTTTTAATTTTCAGAATTAAAAATTATAATACTTTAAGTAAGCTGTTAAGAAAACTTAATTGGTATCAAGTTAACCTCATATAGTATTCTTTTTCTTTTCCTGGAAATAAATACACTTGCGTTACATCCTTAAGAAAACAGACAAAAAGATACTTGCATTTAACAAGTTTTCTGAGGAACAAAATTGTACAGCATCTGTGTTATTCATGACACATATATCATTTTAATCTCTCTTAGAAGAAAAAAAATCATAATTAAACTCTAGTCTTTAGGTCTGTCTCCACAAATAAAACTTATCACTTTTCACAATAAAAAAGTAGAAAATATTATATAAAGTCAAAAGGAGCTAACCTGATATTATTTATCCCCTTGCCAAAGATAACAGATTCACTTGGGAGCCGAACATAACAAGAATAGTCACTGTTTATTTACCATTTAGTTCAGTTCAGATGATAACACATAGTAATGTACCACCATATAAATTCCATATCATACTTTCCCCTATTTTATGAAAAAAGAAAATAGGGTAAATGTTTAAGGGGAAGATTACTGTGACATTATTACTGAAAGAAATTTGCGATCATCACAGCTCAAGAAGTATCCTTAAGAGTCATTTAGAAAACAGATTTCTGTCTATTCCACAAAAATGTGAGACTAAGCATCCCAAATAGACATGAGAAAAACAATCCAAACATTTTTTTGTCCTCACTCATATGCTCCCCTCCCCAAATTCAAAGTAAACAGATTTTGCAAATCACTTCTGTTTAAGCAACTCAATGTAAATAAAAAGCAACCTTCATTTTAAAATAAAAATCGAAATAGCATTTGAGACCGCAAATGTAACTCTCATCATGTGAACAAATGAATTAAATAGAAAATGCCTGTATCTCGACAATTAGGTATCACAATCAATCAGTAAACTTGACACTCTCTAATTATCCACTTTTCACCTCAAGCAAAGACAACTAGTCCACTGCAGTCATTTCCGCATCCGAGTCATTTGATTCATCTTTTAGTTCCAATTCCCCTAAAGCTTTGTCTACAGATGGGACTGTTTTCTTCTTGCACTTCTTAGGAAATGCATCAGTGGCACAAATTTTTCTCATTTTAATGTTTGGCAATTTCTTCAGATCAAAATCCCATTCCCTAAACAAAAAAAAAGTATAGAGTGTTGGTGGTAGTTGAGGTGGAAAAGCAAGAGATGGGGAAATTTTGAAACTCTGAAAGAAGCTTGCAAATTTACAAAACATTAAAAAACAATAGAAAGAACCAATATAAATTCACTAAAAAGCCACTCGGTGGCTCAGCCTGTAATCCCATGCTTTGGGAGGCTGAGGTGAGTGGATTGCCTGAGCCCGCATGTTCGAGACCCACCTGGGCAACTCGGCGAGACCTCATCTCTACAATAAACCAAAAAAATTAGCCGGGTGTGGTA